AATTTAAACTTAATGGTGTTTCACTTTAATCACTCATATGGTAACTTTACACCACTGATCTTTGAACCAAGCACATACACCAGTTATAAGTATCATTACCAAGGTTTGATTTGATAATTTCGAATAAATTGAGCATTGGGTAGATTGTTATGAATAAATAATATATTTATAATATATTTGTAATAACCTCTGAAGAAGTGACTTACACTAAGTCACGAAATGTCAGAAAATCTAATTTTTCTACTCATTGGGATATTACAAATATAGTATTTATTTACATATACCAGTTAGTCAGGATATTGGTTGCTCAGATATTGAACAGAGTTGTTATGAAAACAATATATATAGCTCGAAAAGTCCTCAAAATAAATATCATGAGCATGCCACCAAAATGGTCGTTTAATATAATAATAATAATAATAATAATAATAATAATAGTAGAAGCCAGCAATACAAGTAGATAGAAATAAGTGATAAGATAAAGTATCTAACGCTTTTTAAGAAGCAAGTAGTTTTGAATGTGTCTCAGATCACCTTTGTAACAAAAAGGTGATAACTCTTGTTTTTTTAGATGCTAAAGTGTAGCCTCCTTTTTTGATACCAACCAATGGATCACATTAGGTTATTTATTATTATTATTATCCCTTAGATACACACCTAGTATAGTTTCATATTACGCGAACTACAAGACTGATTTCCATAGCCTGCATTCCATCGTTTGATCACTGGTGATCGGCCTTGAGATGAAATTTCGAACTCCTGGTGCAAAATCTTGACCAGTACAGTTCAACAATGTTGTAATTGAGATTTTTAGTATCAATAACAAATGATAAGGGTTGTACCATATCACAAGTTCGTTCAAGTCGGCACCGTGAGCCATTCAATGGCACTTCAGTGATCTAAGGCTATCGTGCCCTCCGTAAGATTCTACAGTTCTGGATTCAAGCTCTGGTAGCGTCCTGGGTGTACATTGCTGAACGGCCTCATAGCTGTCCAGTCTTCAACAATTCCTCAGTTTCATTAAATTCGTGAACCGATCAATGCTAGATCACCATCGATAACCTTAAAGCACTGGACAATCATTTCATCCTAGTATGGAACTCCTCATCAATGTACATCCACAAACCTGCACGCGAGACTTGAAACCAGAATCTTCAGTCTCGCACGAACGCATAACCTCTAGATCACTGCGCCAGCGTCCAATGGTGTCAATATTTAACTTCAACGAATCCATGATATTGTGCAACCATCTTCAATTATCTTCGTAGAGTAACTGTATCACACCCAACATGATTGAATTCCGCTGGTCACGCACGGTTTCTCACATTGACATATCTGAAAAGTACTGTTTTTTTTTAAAAAAAAGCACTTTAAAGTGTAATTACTTTTTAATAAATTAATGTCATAACTATTTGTTATCTTGTTTTAGCATTACCATGACAAATTTTGAAACAATCAAACAAACATTTATGTCTAAAATTAATGAACCAAATTCACAACGTCGTATGGTTTTATTTGTTGTTTGTATAGCTCTATTATTAGACAATATGTTATACATGGTTATAGTACCAATTATTCCGGATTATCTACAAAATCTACGTGCAATGGATACAAAACAAATTTATTGGATTAATGCTACACATACTAAAAGATTAAAAGATGAAAACTTTATTTTTAATAAAACTAATGGTGATTATAAAATAAAATGGCTTATTCATCAATCTGAAACTAAAATTGGTACATTATTTGCATTTAAAGCTATAATACAATTGTTATGTAATCCTATATCAGGAACTGTAATTGATCGAATTGGTTATGATGTACCAATGATGTTTGGTTTATGTATAATATTTCTGTCAACTTCTGTATTTGCGTTTGGTAGTTCATATGGATTAATGTTTATTGCTAGAGGATTACAAGGTATGGGTTCAGCTTTTGCTGATACTGCCGGTTTAGCAATGGTAGCTGATCGATATACAAATGAATATGAACGTACAAAAGCATTGGGAATAGCTTTAGCATTTATATCATTTGGTTCATTAGTAGCACCTCCATTTGGTGGAATAGTTTATCAATATTTTGGCAAAGAATTACCATTTATTACACTTGCATTTATAGCATTATTTGATGGTTGCTTATTATTGATTATTATGCAACCAGTTAGAATTGAACGAACAGTTTTAAAAACTCAAGGTAATCTACCTAAAGGAACTCCTATACATCGTTTACTAATGGATCCTTATATTGCTATATGTGCTGGATGTCTCACTGTAGCTAATGTATCACTTGCATTTTTAGAACCGACAATATCAAACTGGATGTCAAAAAGTATGAAAGCAACAAATGCACAAGAAGGTTTAGTATGGTTACCAGCATTTTTACCGCATTTAGCTGGAGTTATAACAACAATTAAGTTAGCTGATAAATATCCAAGTAAACAATGGTTAATGGCTGCAGTTGGTTTAGCTATTGAAGGAGGAAGTTGTTTCTTGATACCATTCTGTACTAATTTTATTGCATTAATGATTCCTATTAGTATTTTGTGTTATGGTATTGCATTAGTTGATACAGCAATATTGCCTACAATGGGTTTTCTTGTAGATACACGTCATGTTTCAGTATATGGTTCAGTGTATGCAATCGCTGATATTTCATATAGTTTAGCTTATGCCTTGGGACCAATTGTTGCTGGTGGACTTGTGGATACAATTAAATTTGTTGGACTTAATATTGTTATGACATTAATCACTTTAGGATATGTACCAGTCATGTACTTATTACGTCATTGTTATAATGTTGAAAGACCACAGAATAGAGAATTACCACCTTTAAAAACTGATTCAATTGATCATTCATTTGATCAAGATGATTATGCTTCAGTTAAAAGTTATCCAGGTTATGAACAAAATTCAACGATAAAGGGTGAATCCAATCATCATCACCGACAACAATTTCATCATCCTACTGACCCTACTAATCAATATAATTATCAGTCAGCATCAACGTATGAACAAGATGGTAAACTATTAACTCAACGAACAGATTATGCTTATTGAGTATATCATTGTCAACTCATATAAATATTCGTCAAGATTACAACAAACAGTTTGACAAAATTTGGGCGCCGAATATAGAGAAGACATTTTATGTCAAAATTATATTTGAACTGATCTCAGCAATTAAAATTTAAAATAATTCCAATGTTTGGTCCAGCTAACTTGTCTAAGCTTCTTCAGGGTAATGATCAAAACCATCAAGGAAATATATATAGTGTTTTAACAATCAAATCTATACTGCGTTAATCCGATCATAGTTGGATGTTGATTATTAATAAATAAGATAATATGAGTCGGTTAAATACAAATCGTGTGAAAAGTTCACGATGTGAGAATAAATATCAATCCATTTCAGTCATTTATTTTCATATCGTGAAGTTTTCACACGATTAGCATTTAAATGACTCATATTATCCTATTTATTAAAAATCAACATCCAACTATGATCGGATTAACACAGTGTAGATTTGATTGTTAAAACAATATATATATTTTCTTGATGATTCTGATTATCATCCTGAAAAAGTCCAGACAAGTTAGCTGGACGAAACATTGAGATTATTTTAAAGTTCAATTACTGAGATTATTTCAAATATAATTTTCATATATAATGTCTATCATTATTAACAAATAAAATAGTTGAGTTATTTAGATTAAATGCAATCATAATAAACAGTTTACTACGACAAAAATGTTTATCATACTACTTATTTGCCATATGTGAGTAATACACAATTCAATATTCATAAATGAATAACACTGTGATTTCTAAATCTAACATAAAAAAATATAAATCTAACAGTTACTCTGACATATATTAACTTCTTTTCTTGTAAATTTTTAATAATTTTCTCTCTGTTTTTTTCTGTAACTGAAAAAAAGAAAAAATTTTTTTCTTTCTGAATAATATTTATTCACTTTAAAAATCTATTTTATTCAGTTAAACATTTACCCGTTTAAATGTATTCTGTTTTCATTCAACATTGAATCTACACAAATTGAAGTATATCTATCTATCTGTTTATATACATATACTCTCATTTGAAATTTCGCGCAAATTCAACGGAATAGTTTCTAATTGTTAATTTAAACAAATTTCTCATTTTATTTACACATAAAACTTTTGGTTTTATTCTTTTCTTTATTTAATATCCTTTATTTTATTTATTTTTATCATGAATTATGTTGAAAGCTATAAAAAGTGATGAAGACGAAGTTGAAACTGATGCCAAGAATAATAAATGATATTGTATAAGTGAAAAAAAAGATCTTTTCATTTGCTTGTTTGTTAATAGTGATATTGTTATGATTGTTTGAAATGATGAAAGTAGTATGGGTTACGTTTAGAATTAGTAATTGAATAAAAATATAGTTATTTCCCATTTCATAGTATTCTCTTCTCTTCTCTTCTTGTTTGTATGACTAACTGCTTATAATTGAAAGTGACAATCGTTGAACAGGAAAATGATTTCAGTATCATTGTATAAGTAATATAATGATTGACTGTATTATACTTGAACTATATAATAAATCATATTAAACTGTAATATCAGTTCTATCAGTATATCAAAAAAGGTATGATATTTGAAATATATAATGATCTAAGTTATCTTGTAACTTTTAGTTGTCATTTGATCATACATATCAAATAATGTTACTTAAAACCATACTCAATAAATAAGTTGAAATAGTATTCATTATAAAATTCTTTGTAACGATTATATATATTGAACACCTTCAAAAGTGTTCATAAGTACCATTTAATTATTAGAAGATCAAATGACAATAGACTATTACTAGTAGCATTAAGATCTTTCAAATAATAACATAGATTTATGTTGAAATATTAAGGTAAAATTTCTATTTGTTGTAAGAAACAAAGTAATAACATCATTCAAATAAATATAATATCTATTTATTTTTCTTTATATTTTAGTCGGTTAAATGTCTCATCCAATTAAAGAATTTGTCAGACGTTTATCTAATCTAGATATTGAACGTTATCCAGAATGGGATTTGTCTGTAAGTGTTCTTATTTATATCCAATAAATGTGTTAAGTTACTGAAATGTTTGTGATTTTTCTTCCGAGCAATTTGTACTTGATGTCTATTTTGAAGTGATATTTAAAAAAAAATTGACTGGACTATTTACCACTCTACTTTAATCAGTCTTATGTCACAAAATTAAGTTCACTTAGATATATTTTCAAGTGAAGTATGAATTTCATATTTCTAAGGAAATAACAATTATCTACTAACCATCATGAATACATGAAAATGAACTGATTGTTAATCCAATTTGTACTAGTTCTTGGATCATCTCGCCAGTGATATTTTTTACTGAACTTCCATTTGTCTTAGTAAGTATATGTGCATTCTGTGTGAATTACATTATGTAACGAATTATTATACTATAGATAGAATGTTGTTAATAGTGGGATCTACATCAACTACGAGGTGAATGCATATCCAGTAGAGGAGTTCCAAATAAGATGAAATGCTCATATTACGTCTATTCTATAGAACTTGTTTATTAAACTGGAAATTCTTATCAGTACTCAATCAGTGGTCTTTTCTATGGAGCTAGAATAATAACTACTAGTTTGTATACAATTGATGAGAAGCTACTGAATTCAGGATAAGTTCGTTGTAAGCAACAAATACAACATTAATTTTGATATTTAAACTAATCATTGATAAATGAAACAATTAGACCCATAGACTAGCATTATTATTTTAAACTTTATCATAAAGTAATTTATAGGTAATCACTGACTAGCACCATCTATTCAGCCAGTTGTGACTAATAATAAAAAAACATCTTGAATTTTGCCTGAAATGTTTTAGTTTAGTGATCAGTAATAGCGATTTCAAGTAATTCAATAAAATCTTTAAAACAGTCACTTAATCGACAATCAAACAGTGAAAAAATATCAAGTTCCTACAAGTGCCAAAAATATTTCATCCACAGTACTGTTAATAATTTGAAGAATAAAGATATGAACTATTAGATTATAACTGTGTACGTAAATTAGCGTATTTCTATATTTATTTATGAATTTTCGAAGACAACTATTACAACTCAAGCAATATTCAATTGAAGTTACTTTTTCCTCAGTTTTATCCTATGAACATAATATCTATACATAGATAAACAACTTTTTGAACAAATCTTTTTTAGAGCTTATTAAATGGAATCTTTTGAAGTGTTTATCACATAATTTGATGGTTCTAAAATTCATGATTATTTTGAAGTAGACATTCGACGCTTAAGATTGATAACTTTTAAACAATGAGTTTGTGGCGTCGGTTACTATGTTAAGCTCAGATAATTTATTCTAGCTTGTGAATAAGCCAATTTGTCTATTCTTCTTGAGCCACGTTTTAACGTTGTTAATTATCCACCTATCAACCTTGACTGTTCTTATATCAGCGTACGTGCGTACACTTCTTATCCTATTCATCACATATCTGTAGTTTGTTTTTGTGTGACTATAAATATCGATTAACGCTTGATTAAATGTAGTTGGCTTACACGGCTTCTCCACTGTGCGTTATTTACCTTCTCTCTCCTCTTTACTCCGTCTCCCTGATAGTTTTTTCAGATCGAAGATTGTATGAAATATGCTCTTTCAAACTTCATTCTCGTATTCGACTTATTTAATTCCGTTATTCACTAATGCGATTTAAGTCGATAATTTTATTTGAGGATAGCCAGGATGTATATTTTGACAACAATTATTCATACGATCTAATTGAAGTCAGATATAGGGCTACTAAAGTGGTGACCCCGTTGATAAAATCATCCGATTGAATTGACATCAAAATGAGAGGCCCCACAGGTTCAAAGATACTAATAATAAGATTCTTTTATTTTTCAGAAGAGTAACTTACTCCATGAATTCCAGAAATTACTTTATGAGTTAAGTTGAATTCATAGTGAACGGCATTTTAAAAATACAACCTTAGAAACTGGTTTATTAAAGATTATTGACAGACTGAAATACAACATTTTAATATATACGTCAATAACCGGTTGAAACTTAAAATATGATCAACCGTTTTTTTCTTACAGCTTAGTAAACTTAAAAAAATTCTAAACCAGGGACTGAAATCTTGAAAGATATACAGTATAACAGCGAAATATATGCTGATAGGTTTTATTCTCAAATAACTGCAAAGACAATGATTAGACTAATTATTACAAAAAATTGTGTTTGTTTATTTTACAAGCCATGATATTAGTCTTTTAATTGAACTCTAGATTCGGTTTTTAAGCTCCTCTAGTAGCCCCCAGGCTAAATTTACGCAATGACTTGAACACGAGAGAAAAGGTGCGAAATATGGAAAAAAACACTTTACTCCAAAGGCTCGTTTATATACAGAAAATCTAGGGCTTTTATAGCATTTTGGATGGCTCTGGACTTCTGGAAAATTCCGGAACACTATGAAACATAGTAGCAGTATAAGTAATCATCCAATCAGAAACACGATATGTGGCTTTTCACTTTCTAGATGTTTCTGGCAAAACTCTTATTGAATGCCAATTGCATAAGGATTTTCTCAAAGTTCTCACAGCCTTTTTTAAAGCTTTTTTCGAGGAAGTTTCTGGATCTCTCCAACATATTCAATAAAATTACGTTAAGTTGGAAGCTCAATTCTTACATTTGTAAAAAAACACTTCTGAATATAGTCTTCAATATCAATCTATTCAAAAACTATTCTTAAATGAATATCGTTTAATGGGTAGTAATTAACATGAGCATCTCTTAGAATTAAAAAAATGGTTATTTTCAGATTTACATAAAATAACTATAGTTTCACGACACATTTATGAGAGTTTAAGACCGGTCAAAGGGATATACCAAAATACAAAATGTTACAAATATGTATATCAAACAATAAATTCTTACATTCAAAATAATTTTAGGCTAAGTTGAAAGGAATTTGTCGAAATGTAAGTGTACTTGATTTGATTTGATATGATCTTATTTTTTCGACTGTTCATTCTGAATAAGTATTGAATTAGACTAAGAGTATTTAAAACTACAATAATTAGTCTTTCTATAATAGCTGATATCATTTTGTGTAGTTTTAAGTACTAACCAAGTGTTGTGTAGACACTAATATAAGTAACTTGGTATCATAATGAAATTTATTTGATCACTACTTAGCTATGGATTGCCTTTAAAAAGATCAACTGTGACTAAAATAGCTTAGTAGTAAGGTTTAAAACTGTGACATTGCTAGAAAAGGATTTCACTGGCGAGTGCCAACTAACAGAAAACTTAGATCCAAGAAGTCTTTTCTGTTTACTAGAGCGAACTAACAAAAGTTACCACTATAAATCCTACTGATTCATTAATATTTAATATTCATCTTTATTGGGGAATTTCACAAAAGTGACTATGTTCTTATAATAGAAAGGGTATTTGTGATGAAGTCAATCGGTTGTATAGATTAATTCAGTTTTAAGATAGTTTTCGTTATATACTGCATTCAACTGATGAACCTTCAAAACCTAAGGAACTCTGAGACATTATCATATCTTATTTGACATCATCGATGTGGTTGTTACTTAATAGAGATAGAACAGATGTTCTTCATATCTCAAGAATAGTACTTTACATTCTGACTACAATTATGAAAAAACATCTTATTTGAATTGGCTCAAATAGTTTTGTTAGAATAGATAAATTCTCCCGAATATTCATGGTTAAATATTCAAAACTGCTAGATGTTCTTTCATGAATAAATATAGTTGAAAATTTTGTAATCAGCTGTAACTTGTTTTATTCCATTTGATTCATAAACATCTAAATTGACTTATGCATAAATAATTATGAGAAATATACTTTCTACATAATGCATACAGATCAAATAACACATATACGATACTAGTCAAGATGACTTGATAAATCTTTCTAAGCAATAGCTAATCTGAAATCCTAACATCTTTCCAAGTACTGATTACTTCAACATATTACATTAAATAACCAAGCTAACGGAACAATTCCCATTTAAAAAATGAAGAGAGATGTAAACATGAAATGCTTAAATCAAGATTAGTTGAAAACAAACAAACAACAAAAAAAACACGACCATCTTTTTATAGTGAATCATTACAATGAGATACTTGTATTATGTTATTTATAGAGTTACAATTTGATAATTCATTTAGAATTATCTTCAATGAATACATCTTTTATCTTTAGGCTATAATTTTCTCAAGAAAAAAATGTAACGTAAGATTAAATTTTAATTGTTTTAAATACAAAACGGTGCAAAATATGATTATAGTTAAATATATATGTGTATGATTTGATTATGTAAATAAAGCTATAATTTGAATGACAAAAACAGATGGAATATCAATGTATATTTGAATGTTCGAGTTCCAGATCTTATCCATCTAAGTAAAATATGTATAACCACTCAGTACAAATCTCTTTGAGTAAATCTCTATTCAAATATATATATAGACCAGTGATCATGAAAGCAATTTAAAGTATATTTTCACATCAACCACCTCCAATTAAAATATTATCTCATTATATCGTATCACATCAAGGTGGATATTTTCAAAAGTATGTCACCTTTCTAAGTGTAAACTATAAATAAATGTCAGTTTAGGGGTTATGGAGATTGTTAAGCTTTTTTTGATTGAGATCATGAACCGATTGATGTTGGACCACCATTGAAAACCTGGAAGCACTAAACGGCCGCTTCGTCCTATTGTGGGATTCCTCAGCAGTGCGCGTCCACGATCCTGCCCGCGGGATTCGAACCCAGGGCCTTCAGTCTCGCGCGCAAATGCTTAACCTACTGGACCACTGAGCCGGCATCCAGCGGTGTTAATGTCTAACCTCAACCAATCCACGAAGTTGCGCGACCATCTTCCATTTTACTGAGGTAGACACCAGTTTCTACCCGACACGGACTAGCTCCATTGGTCACGGCTTCTCACCAAAACTCCGAGACTTTTTTCACGAAGCTAGTCACTAGTGAGCACATGGTAATTATCGGTTATTAGGATTAAATATATACAAGTTATCTATTTTATTTTTCCCACGTAGAACCATTGAAACATAAATAACTTTTCTGAGTTTTAAAAATATATATTGATTATGGCTAAACTTTTCAACAATATAATTTGGAAGGGATTTTGTGGAGATTTTAGTATTTTCAATGGTTGAAATCATGAGTCAATTGAAGTTAGACCACCATGGAAAACCTAGAAGCACTGGACGGCCGTTTTGTCCTAGTATGAGACTCCTCAGCAGTGTGCATCCACGATCCCGCACCGCCTGCGAGATTCGAATCCAAGACCTCTTAGTCTCGCGCGCGACTGCTTAAACATTAGACCACTGAGCCGGCATACAACAGTGTTAATGTTTAACTTTAACCAATTCATGAAGTTGTGCCACCAAACACCATTGTCTTCAGTGAGCTGATATCTCACAACAGACCTGGTTGAACACCACTGGTCATGGCTTCTCACTAGAACTCCAAGAAATATCTCTTGAAGCCAGTCACTAGTGAGCAGATGATTATTATCAGAAGGAGTTTGGTCTTATATAGATGACAACTAAGTCCACTGAAACAGGAAATCTAGGCCATTTACAAGAAAAAAAGCAAAGTATTTCACCAGTTTCAAAGATTATATCGTTACTCCAATTATTATTTAAACTAATCTTGTAATTAGTTACAATTAATTGCATTTCAGAAATGTTATGATTACTTGATCATAACAATAACTAATTTCTCGGAAATTCAACTTTTCCTTATTAAACAAATGGATTATTCAAGAAACTAATATGCAGCCAACCCTTGAAAGAAGTTTTTTCTAGATTTTGCGTCAATTTTAGTTCAGCGAATGATTCTTTATATTTGAATACAATTATATTAAACGCTTATTGAGTAGATTTACTCTAAAATGTGACTTCATAAAGAATCCTTAAAATGTTTTGAAGGTGACCGTTTTTTTAAAATAAACATTCATAGAAAAAGCAGCGGAAACTGTTTGAAGGCTTCTTCTTCCCATGATATAAGATATTTTTTTCTAGTGCTCATTCAAAATATCACACAACCTCATGGTGATAATAATATCATATAATTGAGTTAAAATTCGATTTGGAAATTTAAAAATATAGAGTTTTGATTCACTGCTTCATTAAAATCAACACTTACTGAATTACGCTTACCACCCCTCGTAGAGGAGAATGGGACGCTCACCAGCATGCTTCGACCAACTCTGTCCTGGGGAATCCCTTCCACGTGTTTCCAATTGTTGTTAATTCTTTTGATGACTGCCTCCAATTCCTAACCCAATATGTTCCTCGATCTGCCTCATTTCCTTTCCTCTCGTTGAGTCCAAGTTAGGGCTTGCCTCATGACGAACTCTGATTTCCGCACTATATGTTCTATTCAACCCCATCGTCTGTTTGTAATTGCCTCTTCAACTGGAAGTCAGTTTGTATTATCGCACAGCAGTTGTTGCTGATGTCATCTGGTCAACAATTGACATTGAGTATCTTGCACAGACAATTGCCCGTAAATACATTTGCTCTTTCCACTACTTACAAACAATCATGTGAGTAACGTCCTTTACAGTAATAGTAGTTCTTCACGTTTCAGCTACGTACATTAGAACTGTCTTGACGTTCGTAATGAAGATTCTGACTTTGATATTGGTTGACGGTCGTTTCTAGTTCCATATATTCTTCAATTGTTGGAATGCTGTCCTCGATTTGCCGATTCGTGCCTTTATTTCTGCATCTGATCCTCCTTACTTGTCAAAAATGCTGTCCACGTACACGAAAGTTTCCACCTTCTCCAGTGCTACTTTATCAAGTGTAATCGCGTTAATTTTCTACATGTTGTATCTGACGATGACTGCCCAACTTTGCAGTGTGGTCCGTCGTGTGAACTCTGCATGATGTTGAAGATCTTCTCAGGTGCACCGTAGTGTCGAAGACGTTTCCATAAGGTTCTTTTATCTCAACTGATTGATCACTGGGTGGTGATCAATGTCATGCTTGTCTAATCCTTATTAGTGCAGATCGAATGCTATCGATCATGTTGCAATGTGGCCACCAGTCTAGGTGACTCGACACTGCGAGCACTATGTATTTAGATTTAGATGGTGGTTGGAGGTAGTGAACAGGAAACCGTGGACCCGGGTTTCGTGCTACTTGGCACTCGTCAGCAAGGTGTACCTGTAATGTTGAGGGAACTGGTGCTCCCTGGCGGATTCGATCTCGTGTCACCCAGCTTCACAGTCGGAGACGTTACCACTGAGCTATCTCCTATATACACTACTAAACACTTTCTCACAGTCAAGGAAGTTAATGTATAGTGAAAAATTCCATTCACTTGATTGCTCAACAATGACTCATAGTGTCGCGATTTGGTCTGTGCACAAACGGTGTTTATGGAATCCAGGCTGTTGATTTCGAAGTTGGGCATCTTTTGAATCTCTTATACGGTTCAGCAATGCTCACTTGAAAACATTTCCTGGCACTGACGGTAGTGTGGTGTCTCTGTAGTTAGTTCTCGCACTCGTTCAGATCTCCTCTCATTGGTATATTTATAAGGCGTCCTTCTTTCCAGTCTGTCAGTGACACTTGTTCTCCCAAATTTTTCCAAATAGAACGTGGAGCACATTTGCAGTTACTTCTATGTCTGACTTCAATGCTTTATCCGGTATGTTGTCAGGTCCTGATGCTTTCCATCTCTCAACTTGTATGATGGTCATCTTCCCATTTCCGCAGCTATTTAATAGATTCTACCGTTGTCCCACATTGTCCCGATATTCCATGTACCCATATCAACTGCTGTTCTGATTGTTAGAGCATTGACCTCGTGACTTCAGAAGAATCTCGGCTTTTACCATGATTTGTCATTATTTTTGTGTATGCAGATTCTTCAACTTAGAGGGCAGAGTTTAAATGGTTTAATTTTTTAGTCTACTTAACGTTTTTTGGGCAACGTTGTTAACCTCATGCCCAAACCCCTCCTTTATCTCAGTTTAATACCGGCAGTAACCCTTGTGTGATTAAATCTATGTGCATTATTAGTGAAGGTTCTTTGATTCTTGAAGTTACTTTTGATGGTACCAATTCACGATTAAATCCACCATAACAACTTCATTAAATTCTTATAGGATTACCTAACCACACTGTATTCCGTTTCATTTTAAATTTAAAATCGTTTGCTAATGATTCTTCTATATGTCGCTTTATTTTTAATATTCTAGTCATAATATTTTGACATTTTTTCCATTTCTTCCGACTACATATACAGAAACCACTTCCTAGGTTACCGGTTCCAGATTTACATAATACATTAGATAGATATTTACGATTAATAGCACCAGTTGTTTCAAAAGAAGATTATGAACGAACTAAACTATTAGTTGAAGAATTCGGCAAATCTGGTGGAGAAGGAGAAGAACTACAAAATTTACTTAAACAATATGCAAAGACAAAGATCAATTGGGTACGTTAAACAAAATACCTCTTGTATTCTGTTCTGTTTAAATTTAAAACTTAATATTATTAGGTAATAGATAGTACTAAAAAAGAATTTATAAATATTTAGTAGCAAATGGCTATTTATTTTCATATTCCTTTATTTCTAGACAGTGTACAATTACTCTTCTATTTGTAAAACAATCAATATTAGATCGCGAACAATTGTTTTTGATAACTTCTTCATTAGGCTCTACAGCTGTAAATTCAAAATCATTATTGTATTACAACAGACAAAATATCAGTGTTGAGTTAACTCATGTTAAAGATTAGAAATGGAAAATTTCATGCCAACTGAGTCCTACATATAACAAAATACTAAGGTTAAGCAATCGCGAGAGACCAAAGGTTCTGGGTTCGAATCTCGTATGCGGGATCGTGGATGAGCACTGTTGAGGATTCCCATACTAGAACGAACCGGCCACTCAATGCTTCCAGGTTTTCAAGGGTGGTATAACATTAATCGGTTAATAATTTCGACGAAATTCAACAATCTGCACAACCCCATACTGAAAAAAATCATCAGTAAAACTAAAACGTCCTTTATAAAGTTAGAAATATTATATGGCTCAAGGTTATGAGCTTTAATCAATAAGCCGAAATTGTATATAAAAATGTTTGATACAAAATGGAATTCCAAATGAGGAGGCGTAACCAGTAGAGTTCAACCATGCCGGGTACGCGTCAGCTATCCATCTGAGATGAAGGATGAGGGTTACTCAATATCACGGATTGACTGAATTTAGACTAACGGAGTAAGATGTTGACTCAAAGGTTTAAAGGCCAAGCACTCACTCATGAAACTGATTGTCCTGAGCTTGTTCTCCGGTTGAGATGTCATTAGTGTGCACTTCTGAAGAGTCCCACAACAGAAAGAAACGGAAGTCCAACGCTTCCGGTTTTTCAATTGTTGACTACCTAAAGTTGGTTCGTGTTTTAAACCACGAAAATGAAAATTTTGTCTTAGTTGTTATAATAATAATAATAATAATAATAGTAATAGCGATAATAGTCTACTCGTAAAAGCATCCATCATAAGGCTCTTGTACAGATGTATTATAGTCCCAATAATAAAATCAAATTTTAATTTTTAAGTCTTCGTTGAGATCTTAAATACACCCACTCAATAAATACAAAAAATCTGAAAATCGACCCCAAGTACAGCATCCCTTCAACTGATTTTAGTGATGGGAGATCGATTTGACCTGGTCATGGTACCAGATAAATGTATCATAAAACTAATGACTACAACTAGACCAAAACTTAAGACTAGATCACATTGTAAGAAGATGAAACTAATGAACAAAATGTTCGGGTTGGTTACCTTTCTTATAACACAATATTATTTCTAAACGCTTTCTGTACTAATTATTCAATTACACCTTTTTCATACGTAAAACTACATAGGATTATATGTATGGGGTGGTGTAGATTTGAATTTTTACCGATATCACGGAGTGATCTAATTTAGATAACCATTGAAAACCTAGAAACTCCGAACATCTGTTCTGTCCTAGTATGTGACTCCTCAACAATGAATATTGAAAACCACGCCACTGAGGTTCAAACTCAAGACATGGAGTCTTGCACGTAAACCTTCAACTTCTAAACTACTCAACTGAGATACGATGATAAATCCACTATATTGAGTAGTAATCTTCTATTGTCTTCGTGGAGTACATTATCTATATTCGACACAGTTTAGTTGTAGTGGTCAGTGGCTTTTACCAAAACTCTGGAAAGTTCCTCCTAAAACTAGTCACTAATGATAACATGATACTTATCAGTGTGGGGATTGTGAGGATCGTTGAATTTCTATTGAGATCATGAACCGATTTAAGTTGGACACTTGATGTGAAAAAATGACACATTCAAAATATATAATTTTGTCATCAGATTAAATGTAAGAATTTATGGCTGAGAAAAGAAGTAATACAACACATTAATTTATTCTGCTACATAAAGCATCTAATATGCTTATCATTGTAGTGCACTGATGGATCAACACTACGCTATTTATTCACATTTTCTAAATATATTATACTTTCATAATGGACACTTTTTCCTCCTTGAGATAAACCATCATTTTCTAAATTTTGTATTTTAATGAAAAAGAAAAGAGAAAAAAGAGAAAGGGAAATAACATAACTCATTTCATCAAACTGTCTATTTCTTTCTCTAGTTGATTTCTATTAGTTACTTATTGTATCTATCATTCTTCTCATCTGTTATCTATTTGGGAAGAATGAAAAATCTCTCATCATCATCATTGTTGATGATGATGATGATGATGATGATGATGATGTGGATGATCAATGTTAAATGCACCTGTAACTATTCCCATACGCAATTATCTACACTCTAATATAGATTTTTTTCTTTCTCTCATAGATAATAAACATTTAATTTCTTATTCATTTATAATAGAAAGAAAAAATGGGAAATAAAACAAAATTTAGTTATTTTTCTTATCCAATATAACATCAGTTATCTCCTTCTTGTTCTTTCATAGAAAATGTAGCGTATTTTATTAAATGATTTAAAGTGAATTTACATTTGTTTTACTTTATACTAATTACTCATTACATTTAAATATTTATGTATAACAGGTTACAGAATGGTGGTTAGATGATATGTATTTATTAAATACAGCATCATTACCAATTAATTCTAGTCCAGGTATGGTATTTCCACGTCATTCTTTCATTAGTACAAGACAACAGTTAAGGTAAGATGTAATTATTATCACTTAATGGTTTCACTGTATATATATATATATATATATATATATATATATATATATATATAGATAGATCGCCAAACTCATATTTTAAATTTTATCGCATCGATCAACTTATTGATTAAATGTTTAAATATTTGTATTGGGGTCAATTGATGAACTATCGATTAAATGCGCAAATAGGTCAATTAATGAACTCATTGATTAATGTTTAAAAATTTTCTATGACAATATCGATTGTAAATAATTGTATAAATATGCTTGACTTGTATGCTTGATCTGATCTGCCTGCCTGACTTGGTATCTGCTGTTGCTTGTAGAATATACTTTCTACGCCTTACCAAGACTTCTTGATCGAGTTAGCTGAGTCGAAGACAACGGACCAGAATAGTCTATTGAGTCTCTGAATCCTGAGCCTTCGTTCCGTTCCGAATAAGTCGAATCAGTGGTATCCTCAAGGTTAACGAACCTAACATATATATATATATATATATTATATATATATATATATATATATATATATATATATATATATATATATATATATAAGTTTACGAAGATTTACTGAACCTAAGACCTCAAATTTATTGGTTAGTGGTAAAACGTATTATGATGTGAACTTTAATATAAGTTATATCTCATAGACGGTATCACACATTTGACAGCGTACTTGACACTTTTAATACCACTGTCCAGAATGTTTAATTTTATTTATATTTCTCACTTTTATGATTGCTTAACGGTAACATCTAGAAACTGATAGTATTTATTGACTTTGTGCCCTATTAATATATAACGTAATGATACCACCAATTGGAGAACAGTGATTTATCGACCGGACTAATAACGCATACGAATAGTCTAGAGTCTTTATCGGTCCTTCAGTCCAGAACATCAATCTCAGCCTCTGAGATATAAATCACGTATTTCAAACATACTGGATTTATTTACAAACCAAACAGACCACATCATACCATAAAATAAAATTTGTACAAGATCTAACCAAACGCGGCTATGAATATGAAAGATAGTAACTGATAGACTGGATATAACTCACGAACGGTAAATCGTATAATAATAGTCCATGAACTAAAATAGAGCTTATAATAAGAAGAATGGGAATATGTATAGTTTAGTTACTTAGTAACTATACAATAAAAAAAATATATGTACCGTATTGATTCATAGATAGTTCTAAAGAGTTACCATTCATAATTCTTGTCTCGATATAACACTCATATATCGGGAATTGATCAAATTCGAAAAAGCTCAAAATCAACACTTCTCATCTCACCATAATCCTTATTATTGAATATCTATACAATATAGTTTATACATTTAAAAAAATGATTCTTTGTCTTTCATCTTTATTTGTTGTAATATTTATGTGTCATATTTCATCATTTAAGTAAACTAATCTTCACTACCATACACTATTTAAATTCATCTACTTTTGTTCTTTTAATTCATCATATCACCTAAATTATGATTTCCATCTATTTATGAATAGAATAATGTAGAACAATATGACACACCCAGTTTTAACCATTGTCTTTTTTTCTTCCTCTTCTTATCGTTTTTTATTATTCTATCGCAACTTTGTTTTTTATTTATTTACACATTACTTAACAATAAAGACTTCATGTAAATTTATTAATTGCTTAGGCTATAAGATTATTTAATTGTATTCGCGACCTTTCACCTTGAATACATCTCATTATGTTAGACAATAATGGAATGAATGAGTGAAAAAGACAAAAAAAAGGTAGTAGAATAATAAACCAGGGAGTAAAAAACGACGACAACAACAAACAAACGAAAATACATTTAACATTAACGAGGACAATTACAAAACAAAAATTAATTAACTAGGTATATCATAATTTATTATTTTTGTCAAATAAACTAACTAGCTAATTAACATTTTTTGGGTAAAAGTAATAGTTAAGTATAAATTAGTGATAGAAGTTTAATTGAGTATACGAAATTACTAGATTAACTTGAGTTTACCTTACTTATAATTAGAGAGGGGTTTTATGGATATTATAGTAATTTAATAGTTGAATTCATGAGTCGAGCTAAACTATTATGGAAAACCTGGAAGCACTGGTTGGATATCGGCTTAGTGGTCTAGGACCCAGGCGTTCGTGCGCGAGACTGATAAGTCATGGGTTCAAATCTCGCAAGGAGGGATCGTTGATACGCACTGCTGAGGAGTCCCATACCACGATGAAACAACCATCCAGTGCTTCCAGATTTTCCATAGTAGTCTAGCTTCAATTGATTCATGAATTCAATTATAAAAAAATTACTAAAATATCCAAAAAACTCCCTTCTGAAAATATTTTTTGATAAAAATCACTTTTCACATCGGAAAACCACTTCAAACTTTCTAGATACTTGTAAATAGTTTAACTTTGGTTCATTCAGTTACATTCAGTTCAAACGACTAATGTTTGTAAGTGTTATACGGTTACACATTGATCCACATGTTTGCGCTCCCATTCTATGAGTAGGGAAGTAAAATTTACCATTAAATTTTCAAGACGTAAATAGTTACATTTCAATGTTTTATTAGTCTAATGGAAGACGCTAAAAACATTCAAAGCATTTGATTTCATATTCGGTTATGAAAAATATCTATTCTATATCTTTTTGTACTTGAAATGATTGAATTACTTTGAATAATTTGGTGTTAATTAGCAATGGGCGAATTGTAATCCATACAGAAAGTAAAATTGCGGAAATTGTTATAAGATTGAAAGCAGAGTGGATTTAGTGGACGATTTTATTGCAAGCGATTTGATCGTAAAAAATATGGGTATTTGAGTTGGGTAACTTAATTCATTCTGTCAATCTGATATCTAAAGAATTTAAAGATTCAAATTAAAAGTATCATAGACATAATAGATAAATTGCACTCCAATAGATGGCATTCATTCAAAACTAAGAACTATACGAATATGACAATTATTGCTATTTAACGGTCAAACAGTACCTTCAATACTGTAAAAGTTTTAGTCATTGTTCAATTTTGATGGTTAAACAAATAACTCAGGTGCTTTTCAATAATCATGAACAATTAGATGCGTCAGGATAAAAGCTGCAATTTCATTTTGTATTGGTTAATAGTAATAACAATATCTGGTAAAAATAGATGACATCCAAATTGATAATATGATGAATATAAATTGTGTTTCGACTAAAGAATCGAATGTCTCTCTACCGATATTTAGATGTTCTCATTTATTATAAACATACTTCCGTTACTACTCATAAAATACATAAAGTTTGACAAATAATTACATAATCACGGAACTTAAGCTCTCATGATTCAGTTTCTCATTTCCAAATATATATGTATTCCTAACGTATGTTAACATCCATACAAATAATCGCAAAAACAAACTATTAATGTAACCTCTTTTATGATTCTGTTATCGCAAATGTATTAGAACTGGATGTTCTGTCAAGTTGAGAAAAAATGAATTTTTAACGTTATGAAATCATTCTTCATTGAATTCATAAATATGTAGGAGTCAATTAGAGTCAAAACATATTTACGTGAATATAAAAGCTTAACTATAATACATTTATGTTAATTTATTTATTACTAATTTATTTGAACACATAAATATTGGTACAAATGCACCGAATACATATACGCCACACAATTCACTTGATTTGTGTGTAGGCTGGTATACTGTTCGGGTGCCCAGGTCGAAGCAGGTGGTTTCCTTAGGGGTCACACCAGGAGCCTTCGACCTAAAGGTTTGATCCACAAGGCAGTGGGGCAACGTTAGGAGATGTAGTTCCATGATAGCGGGTGACCAACAGTTGGTCCATACGCCATTTGTTCCACCAGGATACTGGAGCACATGTGCACCATTGCTTTGAAATCAGGGTTTTCCAACATTCTCTAAACGGATCCTCCGTATGCACCAACCCGGTTAAAGCGTCGGACATTCGCTTTTCATCCTTTCAATTTCATAAACAATACCACGGCCACGAGAAAGCAATGAGTGTGACTTCCTTGGCAGTGGCTGTATACGCGTGGCCATGTGAGAGCATTTCGAGAGGGAGAGCTAATTCTCTCCACCCTCGGCCGTACCAGGACGCATGGAGCTTTATGTTAATTTAATGAAATAGGACACATATAAGTGTAACATAACTGAAATATTCTATAGATCTCAGCAAAAACAAAAAAACCATAGTGTACATAGTATTGAATCTGCAGTTCTTATGAGTAAAACTTATCAGCATTGAAAAAAATTTCATTCCTGTTTAGAATTATTTTAAAATGTACACCAACTAATTTTGATAAACTTCACCTTCCGAAATGATATCAATCAAAAACATTTAACAGAACTACTCATTTGCATTGTTATGAAGTTATACATTGCGAGAATATCGATAAAAAAATTGAATAACGTTACTTAACAATTTCTGTTAAAGTTTTAATATCAGCAGTTGATATCATGGGTCAGTTGAAGTTAGACCACCATGGAAAGCCTAGAAGCACTGAACGGCCGTTTCGTCCTATTGTGGGACTCCTCAGAAGTGTTCATCCACGACCCTGCCTCGCGGGATTCGAACCCAGGACCTATCAGTCACGCGCCAGGCGCTTAAACAACTAGACCACTATATTGAATAAATATCAAATATCAATAAAATCAGTACATAAATGAGTAGATTTGATTAATAAGTGATTGCTGTATTTTCAGAAAGTGAATAATGTATGTTTCTATCTTTAGTTTTTATCTAGTACAAATCACTGTTTCTTATTACAAGTACCATATTCCAGTGGTTATATGAATTGGTTATAAGGTTTATTAACAATTTTCAATTCAGCTATAACAGTTTAACTTTAGTCATTCCTGAGTTTAACATATTTCGTAAGTTCAGCTTCAGTAATAATAAACTTCTGGTTACAATGTTGAATTTCAAGAGGTAATGGGGGAAGAAAATCAATTAAGATGCCCATTACGCTGGACGAATAGAAATCATCATTCATCCATTTATTTCAATAACGAATGAAATATATTAAAATACTTTTAAATGACCCGAATGCTGAATACCATTTAATTCACGTGCTAACTGATCAGTCTAGAGAGTAGGTAGAAAGTAAAGGCAAGAATTGATCCTTCCTTAAAATTGAGAGGTTTGATGGAGGGGTATCTTATATTCTGTAGATATAAGAGAAATATGGTTTGAAGGAATAAAGTCAAAAGTTTCACCACCTTATCAATATTGCTACGTGAGGGCCGCACATCGTGTCATGAGAGAAGGTGATAAGACGAGCTATAATTTTCCATACTAGTTAATGATATATTCCATTAGAAAGTGAATGATTTATAGCTCTCATACTCCTTAGTCATTTATTTTCCAAAATACTCCTAGTCGTGTTTTTTCGTTTGTTTATAAGCATGTTATTTTGCTACAGAAGAAAACATATTCTTCTATTCAGTTGTCTTGCCTTTGATCTTAAAGTATTTGAGGATTGTATTACTAATTCGATTTCGTGAACAGCCATCACCTGTTCATATTGTATCATTGAAATATTATCAATCGACAAACATTCTTTTCTTTCATTTTAATAAATAAAAATCACTGCATAAAGTCTAGGTTTTCATACCGACTACCTCTAACCACCAAAATAGTGCACGCGATGTTGAGTCATTTAGGCTAGTGACCGAATTGCTAATTGGTTGATAGAATTCGTTTACTATTAAAGACTAGACTAATATGATATTATTCATTACACAATGATCAAAAACTTTAGTCTGGTATGCAAATATTGATCATTTTGACATGTGAATTCTCGATCTCGGGGTGGCCAGTTTAATAATATATCAAAATATTGTTACATTCGAATAACTGACCGAATGAAATGAATATCTTTAAATTCGTAAATACTCATTCACGAGTGAAACTAAGATTAACAATACGAAACATACATAAAGTTACCTTACTTAGTGGTTATCATGTTTTCACAAGTGGCTAGACTTGGAAATAAACACAGTGATCTATTGATTCGGTTAAGTGAGCGATGGGATAGGAAATCCATAACAACGATACTACGATGTCATAAATTAACTATGATTGAAAATTGGACGTTTGCCCTCATTTTTAAATCTTGATGCCACGTGGTGAATTTCAAGTATCTAAGTGAATACACATTGGTAAGGCTCACATGTAAATCTTTCTGATTTTCAGCGACTTCGTAGTTAATATCAGGTCACAACGAGAAATATTGTCAATTTAAGAGTTTAAACATGCTTAATTTACAGATACTGAAAAGTATTCTACACCTTAGAAATTTTTTTATATAAAAATATCAATATTCTCCTTTACTTTCATATACTTATTTGCACTGAAGAAGAAAATCTATTTTTATTTATAACGTTATTCGTCTTCTATTTTTCTACTTTCTTTTCACCACCACTTACATCATCTCCCAGTAAATAAAATTAGACTAAGTAAAGCCTACTGTGTAGGTTTGCACGTAGTTGAATATATATATATATATAATTGCCCCAAGGATAGTAAGTACCAAGTAATATGAAATTATTCATTTTCAAAATGAACTGACTTCTTTCAACAGCCTTTCATCATCTACTTTAAGTATAATTTTGGCTTTTTCATTAGCTAAATAACCACTGACGATGGATAGATAGGTAGGAAAGTAGGTAGATATATAGGGTGAAGTTCAGTAGGAATTTATGTGTTTTTCTTTATGCATGTACCAGTGGGATTGGGTTAAAAGAAATAATGAAAGAAAAACAGGGGTAGTATTGTAATCTAATTTGTAAATTCACCTTAGTTATCTCAATTAGGTTTTTTTTAGTAAACTGAAGAAACTCTACTAAAATTATAGTCAACGTCGATTGCGTTATAAAAGTGTATTGTTATGCTTCATTTTTCATCTCTTTGAAAATGTTCATCTTTATTTACAGTCAATGAAATGTTTTCTCATATCTTGGTCAATCACCTATATTTGATGCAATTTTTCTTACTTTATTTTTACCATCTGCTACTATCTATTCTTACCTGCCTATCCTATGTATCTATCTAACTAATCATTATAACACTCGACTAGTCACTACCTTTTAATATTGATATATATTCATCATATAACAGATAAGTGTGTGTTTCGTTTTTCCTTTGTATTTCTCATTAGTGAATGCTCCAAGCATTAAATTGCTTCTTTTTTGTTTGTTTCATATCATTGTATTTTGATGAACTAGTAAGACTAGCTCTTCACTAACTCAATTATTGACTGATTCATTTTTCTCTTATGTTTCATTAAGAAAAGATGAGTGATTCACATTGAGGATTTTATTTAGATAATTGTATTTTATAGTTATTCGTTTTACTTTTTGTTTTAAAAATCATAGAAGTAATTCATTGACAGGACTGTATGTTTTGTAAATATACACTGAACTCCATGGTGAATCCAATTCAAATCTAGTTAACAGTAATTGAATAAACAGTTTCAAAACGATTGAATTATATTCTGTCAGGAATATAAATATTCTTTAGGTTTCAACTATCATTAAGAGGAAACCGGTCTTACTTTAATTCATAAAAGTTATTTTTTATGTAGAACTGTAAGTAATAAACAACGTTCAGGAAATTCATTCCATGGTGGAATAAGTATTATAGGCGGCTAACATCACATGGAGTAATATAACATGTCGACGGTTAATGTATAGTATGATTTATCATTGAAATGAAATAATTTAGTATACTGAATATACCTTGGTAACTATTTGTACTTAGTAATTCTCACCAATCTAATTTTGTTCATTTACTTTATGGCTAAAATGAACCAACCTGAGTTGTAATTCAATTAAGAATAGAAAATGACACATGGTTCTAACTACATCTTATACTGATTAATATACATCTTATTGGTCAATACATAATTGTTTGTAAGAGAACATTAGAATAAAGAAAGCATATAGTTATTTGTTTATATACAATCTTCTTAGTTTACTCTAATTCACCACTTTTAACTAACTTATATATTAATATTCCGGAAAATCAATTCCCAAATGCCCTGGTACGGCCGAGTGTGGAGAGAGTCCGCTCTCCTTTTCCACATGCTTTCACATGGCCACGCGTATACAGGCACTGCCAGGGAAGTCCTACTCACTGCCTTCTCGTGGCAGGGCTGTTGTTTATGGACTTTACGGAATAATTGATAATAATAATAATATGATTATGATCTACATTTAACTGAAACTATTATTCTTTAAACCTTTACATAATCCATCGAATGAAATCTATCGTGAACATTTCTTATAATTCAAATATATTTAGTGAATAATACATTGTCTTTTAAATTGATTAGGTAGATGAATAAAACAATTCTATACATTATTTTCATCTATGTTTTTTGTTTTATCTATATTAGATTTGCTGCTCAACTGATTTCTGGAATTCTTGATTATAAAACAATATTAGATACGTAAGTTTCTATGAATGAACTACTTTATATTGATCTCAAAGTTAGTTTGGATGATCTAGAAATTGTATATTTAATGAAACATGTTTCTTATACGAATATAAACCGTTTCACAGCACTGAAATACATTTCATTAAAATGTTTAATGTAAATTATCTGAAAGGTTATTGAAAAAACTTCATCAATGAATAGTAAATATGATCTCATTTAAAACTCTTTAGTAATATTGAAAGGGAAATTGTTAAGTTTCAAATTATTAACTTTGAAGCAGTGTACACAATATAAGTTTATCAGTGATATATACAAACCTAAAATGGAATTGTTAATATGTACCTGGTTATTAGAATAATAAAACTTAACATTTTAATAAAAACTTATAAACAAACATTGATATTATAAGCAAAAAATATGGATAGTTGCTAGCAGTGGAATCCAGTTTGACGCGCGTTTCGTCCTATTTGGGACACGTCAGCTAGATGTACCTGAGTCTCAGAGTTAATGTTCACTCCGGGACTCGAACCCGGGACCGTTCGCTTTAAACACCATCGCGTTATTCACTTACCTACTGAGTTTTGATAGCCATCATTGTAGTCATTATAATGGTTAAGAGACTGATAAAATGTTATCTTAATGTTCATATCTGTTAAATATAGTGAATAGCAAAACTCAAATTATATTGTAAAATGAATTCGCTTAAAAAATAACAGATCCATGTTTGTTTTAATATCCGACTTAGTAAATAAAAATGAACATTGAATCGAAAATTTCAGCTTTCTGGTGATATTTATGTAAAAATAAAGCAAATTTTATTTTTCTTATTGAGTAAAAGGTTTATAGTTTCATATTTATTCTCTTTTGTTTTATTTTATAGAAATTGTGTTCCTTCGTTGTTGATATAAAAGACTTCGATTGACTACTTCCTTTTCGTATTTCTGTTTTATGAAAGAATTTTATGAACATTATGATTTAGTTTTTAATGAATTTGGATAGTGACTACTAGTAGAACCCAGAACTCAGATTTTGTTCCATTTAAGACTTGTTAGGTGAATGTACTTGCATTTCAGTGTTCATGCTCATATCAGAACTTTAGCTCAGTACCTTCAACCGATTCCAAATGACCGCCAGCTTGTTTAATGTATTCTGTATCCCAATGCTAGCCACTATTCAAATTTACTAGTCACTGTCATCTCGGTATTGAATGAAGTGGATAATACCATAAAAATATGAAATGAACTCATATATTATTGTTTTATAGATAAAAAAGATAAAGAAACAAATTAGTTTGGGTTTTTGACGATGGTTTTTTTCCAGAAAAGTATCCGTCTTTTTTCTTCATCGGTAAATATAATTCAGTAACGTTTTTCACTTCCGTAACTATCTCCGTTTCTCTTACTACTCTTTTTTCTGTAATTAATGAGATTTTTGAAGTGTTAACTAAACTTTTCAATAAATTAAACTTCGTGACAATCTTTTGCTGCGGAAAAAAAACTAACAAACAACAACACGTGGAATCGGAATGGAAGACTGAATGAATAATAATAATAATAATAATAATAATAATAATATAATTATTATTATTATTATTATCATAGAAAGAGCTGTGCATGCATTTAACTAATACTTACTTTGTTTGCACGTCAATTTAATGTCTCATACTTACAGAGAATGTAAGCATTGATATAGAAAAAGTAGAGTTGTAGCGTATTTGTATGCATTTGTTTGTTGGTATGGGTGTGTGTATGTATATATATAATTGTTAATTGTGTTTATCATGTAATCAAACAGCTGAGTATTATGGTGAATGCATGAATGAGTCACAAAAAGAAGGAGGGGAACTCACTAAAGAAAACTGATAACAGGAGAAGAGGAAAAAAAACTTTACATACTGTTGACCTGTTTTCCACTTCAAAAAGTTCATAAAAAAATTTTTTTCCCATCGTTTGCCTGAAAATATTCTTTAACATTTAGACATATATATAATCATCTATTTTCTACATTAAATAGATATATCAACCGTATAAATTCTTTTCTTTAATATTAAATATCTAATAAAAAGTAAGGTATAGAAAAGATGATGTATACATACATCAATTCAACCTTCAATGAATATCAAATTACATTTAAGTTTCTTTTTATCACCTGTTTTCTTTTCTCATTTTAATAAAAAATAGAATAAAATCTTACCACGAAGAAAAAACAGATTTGAACAATTCACTTGGTGTTGTTATTTAGAACTGTGATTGATCAGTCTCATGTTGGCATATGTGTATCCTTTGCTAAATTGCCTTGATATAGCCTTAAGTCACAAGCTTCTTAAGTAAAGATGGTTAGTGAAAATCAACTCTGAAATCAAGGTACATCCAGCTGATGAGTCCCAAATATGACGAAACGTGCATCAGACTGGATTCCACTGCTATCAACTATACATCTTTGCTTATAATGTTTGTAAATTAAGGCAATATCGAGGCAATACGAACAGTATGCACATATGCCAATTAGAGACTAATCAACTGCAGTCCTAAACACTAATGAAAAAGATTCAAGTAAAACAATACCAAGTGAATTTAACCTTCACACCACCGCACAAGCAGGTGAACATCAACTCTGGGATGGAGGTGCATCCGGCTTACGAATCCCAAATAGGATGAAACGCGCGTCAAACTGGATTTCACTGCTAGCAACTAGCGATCTTTGTTTAAAAAGATTTGAACAATGTTTTTTTTCTCTTGGTTTTCTGATAAGATTTACTTCCGTTAAAAAAAGAAAGAAAAATAATAATGATAAATTCACTGATGATAATGATTGTTTGTACTTCTTTCCTTCTTCTCCTTTATTTCTCTTACAATTTTCTTTCAAAGTAAACAATTTTTCTTTGCATTTATTTACTTAATAAAATTTAATTAGTCAGTTGGAATATACGCAAACATAATATGAACAGTAATAGCAAAGAAAAGAAAATTTTGTGATTATGATTTTATATGGTGTAATTTATACTAAGTTATCAAAAACTAAACGTTTACTCACTATATTCTATGGTTAATGTTTCTTATTTATTCTAAGAAATTCATAAAGTATTACAAAGTAGAATTCAGATAATTTTAACTATCATGGTAATCAGGTTATTCTTTCAAATAATGGTCCCCGATTATACCATATACTGAAATTGATTGACAATCATCAGAATGGGAGTTTGTAGAGACTGTAGTAATTTTAATACTTGGTATCATGAGTCGATTTAAGCTAGACCACTCTTGAAAACCTGGAAGCACTGGACTGCCGTTTCGTTTCAGTATGGGAATTTTTAGGAGTGCCCATCCATGATCCCACACCCGGGACTCGAACAAATGACCTCCAGTCCCGTAAGCGAACGCTCAACCTCTAGATCACTGAGCCGACATACAACGGTGTTAATATCTAACTTTAATCAATCTGTGACCTTGAGCAACCATTCATTCATTGTCTGTGGGGGATAACTGTCAACACCTGACACGGTTCGGACTCTACTGGTCATGACTCCTAAATGGAACTCCAAGAAATCTATCTTGAAGCTAGTCTATAATGACCACATAATTATTATCAGGATGGAAGACTGTAAAGATGCCGGCTCAGTGGTCCAGAGGTTAAGCATTTGCGCGCGAGACCGAAGGTCCTGGGTTCGAATCCCGCATACGGGATCGTGGATGCGCACTGTTGAGGAGTTCCATACTAGAACGAAGTGGCCGTGTAGTGCTTCCACGTTTCCATTAGACAGTGTTACTAACTGTATGGACAATAATATAAAATACAAATAGCTTCTTATCATCCTAAATTTAAACGGTTACAGGTTTCTTTTTCTTTGGTTTGTTTTTTAACCATAAACGTTCTTGAAAATTACTCCGTTTTCATTTTATTTTTAAACGATTTGTACAACTTATTATAAATAGACAGAAAATACAATGAGTGGGTAATAAGTGATACCACATTACTGCTGTATTAACTTTAATTACACACGGCATAAATTTCTTTTCGGTAGGTATCCAATCGTTTTTCGCAAAATAACTGTTAAAAATAAACTTTAATCATTCAAATAGCATTTTAACTTTCTTACTCAGTGGTAAATTGGATTTAAAGAGTCTGTCATAATAGATTCAAAGAGATGTCACCTAACAATTTAGTATATACACCTATGTTAAACTGATTCAATAACAATAAATGTTAACAAGTTTATTCTATAAACCATTCAAGAACTTTTACTGCCAAACTTCTATAACTTTTATCAAATATAACCAATGATCGTAACGAACATTGGTAATTTGATCTGGTTTGCCCAACAAAATAAATTCAGTAATATAACATACGTTGCTTTTTAGCTTTCATCTGATATCAGGAATAACATTTTCAGTATTCTTCTAAACGATCATGTGTGGGTCTTTGATTAAGTTTTGTACCATGTAATAATATTTTGGCTCGATTCTTCTCATGGTTCAATAAATGGTAATCGGCTAGTTCTTTTTTGAATCTCTTAACAAAACAGTGTAGTTATTGTCAGAACTAATGAAAAATCAAACCTTCGTTACGCATGAAACGAACATACGGTTTCACGTTGACTAAAAATGAAAATCATCGTACATCACAATAAAAAACTCAATTTGAATATAATGACAGGGTTATGTTTAATTGAAACTTAAAACGATCAACTTCCTTAAGTTTTTAATACGGGTAGCAGTTAGTGTATCAATGAAATTTCTGTCATCAGTTATCACAGTTCAAATTATAATTTTCTGAGAGAAAAAAAAATTAAAGTACACATTGAAATAAAGAATCGATCAATGTTTGACGACCATTGAAAACATCAAAGTACTGGATGGTTGTTTAGTGGATCCACCATCAATGACCACCATTGGTAGGTTCATGATCTCAGTAAAATTCAACATTCTCCACAATTCCAAACTGACAGATAAACATATTTTAAGTTATTCCTCATTTAAACAAGAACAGTAACACCTAGAATCATTTCAGTACAATCCCTCATCTACTTAATAATACCATCAAAATATAAATGAATTAATTATGTAATATTCTGTTTCTCAACTCAGTATGATATTTTTTATGTGTAAATATTTTAATTTAAGAAGTTATAAACTCATTTTATTCTATTTTAGACGTTCACTTCCAATCGATCGAGCACGGCATAGTAAAAAAGGTCAACCATTTTGTATGGAACAATATTATCGATTATTTAGTTCATATCGTTATCCAGGTAAAACTAAAGATATACTTGTAACAACATCTGAACGAGATCCATTCGATCCTGAACATATTATTGTTATTTATTTAGATCAGGTAATTTTCTAAAAAATATATTCTTTTTTATATCAAGGAATGATGTCTAGTTTTAAAATAATAAATTACAATTCTTTAAAAAAGCAGTTGGTTATATTTTTTTAGTGATTACTTACGTACTTGCGCCTGTTACCCCTCGTGAAGGAGCATAGGCCGCTCACCAGCATTCATCATCTAACCATGTCCTGGGCAGTCCTTTCCAGCTCTTTCTAGTTGTTAATCATCCTTCTCATATCTGCTTCTATTTCCCGACGTAATGTGTTCTTTGGCCTTCCTCTTTTCCTCTTCCTTTCAGGATTCCAAGTTAGGGCTTGCCTCGTGATGCAGTTCGGTGGTTTCCGCAATGTATGTCCTATCCATTTCCAACGTTTTTCTTAATTTCCTCATCAACTGGAAGATGGTTTGTTCTCCCCCACAGTGGGCTGTTGCTGATGGTATCCAGTCAAAGGATATTGAGTATCTTGCGTAGATTACTATTTATAAACACTTGTACATTTTTGATGAGAGTCTTAGTAGTTCTTCAAGTTTCAGCTTCGTATAGTAGAACTGTCTAAACGTTCGTATTGGAGATTCGGACTTTGATATTAGTTAACAGACAGTTGTTTTGAGTTCCATATGTTCTTCAATTGTAGGAATGTGGCCCTTGTTTTTCCAATCCTCGTCTTTACGTTTGCATCTGATTCTCCTTGTTCATCGAGGATGCTTCCCAGGTATGTGAAGGATTCCACATTTTCCATAGTTTCGATATCGTGTGATTGAGTTAGTATTCTCTGTGTTGTATGTGAGGATCTTGCTTTTTCCTTCGTGTATGTCGAGGTCTACTGATACAGAGGCTGCTGCTACACTAGTTATCTTCATTTGGATTTATCTCGGTGATTAGAATAATCAAAATAAACAATTATATATTCTATTCATAGTTTTACTAAATGATTGATTAGACGATCATTAATTTTTGTTTTCATAATATCAGTGTTCTAGTTTTTTTTCTATTCTGTTTATTCTCATATTTTGGCTTAATCCCATACTTATAAATAATCTTCTGTATTGAGTTACACAGATAGGTTTGACTTAAACTTTATCATTTTTGGTAAATATACACAAAATAAGTAACATAATGATGATTATTGATTATTCTGATAAAATTATTACATTATTATCAGAATGGGTTTTGTGGAGATTTTTAGAAATTTCACAGATTGAAATCATGAGTCAGTTGAAGCTAGACCACCATTGAAAACCTGGAAGCACTGGACGGCCGTTTCGTCCTAGTATGGGACTCCTCAGCAGTGCGCATCCACGATCCCGCACCACGCGGGGCTCGAACCCAGGACCTACTGGCTTCGCGCGCGAGCACTTAACCACTAGACCACTGAGCCGGCATCCAACGGTGTTAATGTCTAACTTCAACCAATCCACGAAGTTGCGCCACCGTACACCATTGTCTTCAGTGAGTTACTATCTCACAACAGACCTGGTTGAACTCCACTGGTAACGGCTTCTCACTAGAACTTCGGGAGTTTTTCCTGAAGTCAGTCACTAGTGAGCAGTTGATTATTATCGGAATGGGTTTTGTGGAGATTTTGGAAATTTCACAGATTGAAATCATGAGTCAGTTGAAGCTAGACCACCATTGAAAACCTGGAAGCACTGGACGGCCGTTTCGTCCTAGTATGGGACTCCTCAGCAGTGCGCATCCACGATCCCGCACCACGCGGGGCTCGAACACAGGACCTACTGGCTTCGCGCGCGAGCACTTAACCACTAGACCACTGAGCCGGCATCCAACGGTGTTAATGTCTAACTTCAACCAATCCACGAAGTTGCGCCACCGTACACCATTGTCTTCAGTGAGTTACTATCTCACAACAGACCTGGTTGAACTCCACTGGTAACGGCTTCTCACTAGAACTTCGGGAGTTTTTCCTGAAGTCAGTCAACTGACTCATGATTTCAATCTGTGAAATTTCTAAAGTCTCCACAAAACCCATTCTGATAATAATCAACTGCTCACTAGTGACTGACTTCAGGAAAAACTCCCGAAGTTCTAGTGAGAAGCCGTTACCAGTGGAGTTCAACCAGGTCTGTTGTGAGATAGTAACTCACTGAAGACAATGGTGTACGGTGGCGCAACTTCGTGGATTGGTTGAAGTTAGACATTAACACCGTTGGATGCCGGCTCAGTGGTCTAGTGGTTAAGTGCTCGCGCGCGAAGCCAGTAGGTCCTGGGTTCGTGCCCCGCGTGGTGCGGGATCGTGGATGCGCACTGCTGAGGAGTCCCATACTAGGACGAAACGGCCGTCCAGTGCTTCCAGGTTTTCAATGGTGGTCTAGCTTCAACTGACTCATGATTTCAATCTGTGATATTACATTATTGTTATTTCTTTATATTTATTTGTTGAATCATCTTTCCTTTTTTTCTCTCATGGGAGTAATAATGGGTCATTATCTACCAGTGGATTTCATAATACTCAATAGGCGAATTACTGTAATAATAATAATAATAATAATAATAATGGCATAATAATCTTATTGATGAAATATTTTTTCGGTAGAATCATATAAAAACTATATAGAAAAGATACATATTCTTAAAGAATAATTATTAAATACAAAAAAATTACCATTTGTTTTGTTACCCCAAAAGAAAATACTCAAAGTTCAATTAGTTAGCATAAGATGATAAATATATATGATTATTAGTTTTAGAAAAAAGGTTTATACAGATTGTTTATTATGACCTGAGTTTAACTCGGTAACTATCGGGAACTAACAATTACATACTGGACAATTGTTTTATCCACATATCGACTTCTTACCAGTATGCATTTATGACTTCGTCAGGAATCATTCCCAACAAATTTAGGTTTCATATTGAACTATTTCATTCTAGACAATCTTTTGTGTAGCTATCTGATGTTTTTGTGAACATTGATAGAAAAGTGGTAGTCTAACTACAATTGTTCCAATATGCCAAACTTGAAATTCAACAATAATGACAACATATTAAAATAATAAACAACATATGCTTATAAGAGTTAAGCCCTGGTACGGCCGAGAGTGGAGAGAGTCCGCTATCCCTCTCGAAACGCTCTCACATGGCCACGCGTATATGGCCTCTGCCAGGGAAGTCCTACTCGCTGCCTTCTCGAGGTGAGGATGTTGTTTACGAAATTGAGAGGACGAAAAGCGAATGTCCGGTGCTTCGACCGTATTGGTGGACACGGGGAGTCCACCTATGAAGGTTGGAAACACTGATTCCAAACCAGTGGTACACATGGACTCCAGTATCCTAAAAGAACAAATGGCATATGAACCAATCGTTGGTCACCAGCTACCATAAAACTGCACCTCCTTACGACGCTCCACTGCCTTGTGGATCAGACCTTTAGGTCGAAGACTTCGGGTGTGGCTCCCTAAGAAAACCACCCGTTTCGGTTTGAGCACCCGGGCAACATCACAGCCCTCACACAAATCAAATGAGATTTGTGTAGCGCATTTGTATCTGGTGCCCCCTTGCACCGGTATTTATGTGTTCAAATAAAAAGTGGTAAGCCCCATAATTCTAATCAAAAGATGTAACTAGTGTTCAGCCATACTGCAAGTGAAGTAGTTACTTACCACTAACACTGGGTGATAATCATGTATATATATGACTTAAATGTTATAGATTTAAGCATAAAATTTATTGTTGACATGAGGCTACTTTAATAACGATAAAATACTTCTACAATATATCTTGATTGCTATTACTTACTTAACGCCACTGTGAAATTATATGTTAAATGTCGAACCTTCAGCACTTCCTTTTAAAAAATAGTAAAGACATAAAATACTGAGCCCGATCCGATGTTGTGTTTTGACTGCGGATTGATGAAGTGCTGTAAACTAAGATAAGACAAATATCCAACGCTTTCTAATATTAGAACAACACATATAAGCGAACAATTGTTTTCAATTAGATCGTCATCAGGCTTTACTATAATATACATGAATATTTATACGAAAATTTTAAACCAATCAAGGTAATATGGGTCAATCATCACAATGGATGTAGAATCTTTGTTCACCAACGTACCACTTATAGAGACTATTGATTTTATATGCAAGCAAATATCAAAAAAACAAATCAACATTGGCTTGCCTAACGATAGCCTAAGAGAACTGCTCCTAAGATGCACTCTGAATGTACATTTTGTCTTCAACAATACTTACTATAGACAAATAGACGGGATAGCCATGGGCTCGCCTCTAGGCCCGATTTTAGCTGACCTCTTCCTAGCAAAGCTAGAAAACGGACCTCTCAATGAGACTATTAAGAAACTGGATTTTTATTGCCGATACATTGACGACACATTCATTATCGTAGATCAAAACACTAGTAGAGAGGAACTCCTAGACCAATTCAACAGTGTTCACCCAGCGATCACTTTCACTGGTGAAAGCGAGCATGATAAGAAGCTGAGCTTCCTTGACGTCACACTAAGCAGACGAAGTGACGGCACATTAAGTAGAAGCGTGTATAGAAGAAACCCCTCTTCATGCCAATATACTCACTTCTGCAGTTTCACACCCATCCGTTACAAGAGAAATTTGGTCAGATGTCTCACGAGCAGAGCAAAAAAGATCTGTACAGTAGACACTCTAAGTCAGGAACTTGAATTTATCAACAACTCACTGACCGAGATCGGCTACCCCAGCGCGTTCATTAAGAAGTACATGCAGGATATAATAAAGAAGTCGGAGATTTCGACTGTTCGTAAGAAACCTTTATACATGAAAGTGCAATTCAACGGGGATGTGGCTAGTGACACTCTGAAATATAGGTTAACCAAAGTAATCACCAGGACATTCTACGCAGCCAATCTTGCGTTGACCTTCTCTTGTCGACCAGCGATGTCTACTCAAACGAAGGATAAGTTACCTGAGTTGGCCTCTTCCATGTGCATTTACAAATTCAGCTGCTCCTGTGGAGATAGTTATATAGGGCGTACTACCAGGCAACGTAACCAACGAATGAGTGAACATCTACCAACTTGGTACATAAAGGGTCAGAGAAAAACTATTCGCAGTTCTATACTAGCACATCTTGTTGATAGCGGTCATGCAGTAGAGAAATCGAAATCATTTCGAGTTATCTATCGTATACCTCCATCATTTCCCGACGGAGTCCGTTCCCGTCTTCTATATATAGCTGAAGCCATTGGAATTCGTACATATACCCCCAATCTATGTGTACAGAAGAAATACGTGACTCCCCTATCCCTTCCATGGCCAGTTATAACTTAACTAACAATTTTTTATTTTTATTTTAAATTTTATTAATATCATTATTTATTTTATTCTATCTGTGTTATTGTTAACCTTATTTCCACATCCATTATTTGTTTGTGATTATCCGCCTCTTTGTATTCTTCACTATCTAATTATTTACACACATCTTATTACGTAATGATTTTTAAGGTTTTGTGATTACTATTCCTAGTCTATTTACCTATGTTTGTTTGACCTTCTATTACCAACGATTAACTATTGATAAGAGTTTTGTTATTGTAGTTTATTATTCTTACCACTATCTGTTCACCTGTCTTCGTACTATCAACTTGTACTTTTACCTATTATGTGTAGAGACTTATTCTATTTCATTGTGATTATTGACTCATATTGCCTTGATTGGTTTAACATTTTCGTATAAATATTCATGTATATTAGAGTAAAGCCTGATGACGATCTAATTGAAAACAATTGTTCGCTTATATGTGTTGTTCTAATTTTCACAATGGGAAGCTTTCTAATATTCATTAAATCTTCAGGTGATTTCAGTTCAAGATAAAACTTACAGTCAAAATACAAAAATACTTACGATAAATGTCTTAAATCTTTCGAACTAAGAATGATCTATATTAATTCAAACTTAATAAAATTTAGACATTTTTAGTGGAGTTTCTCTAGAATTTTCAATGTTTTTTTCTTCATAGTTCTTCGTTATTGATGTCATAACTAATGGGAGTAGATTAAGTGAAGAAGATATATATAATCAGTTACGTCGTGTTACACAGTTCGCTGAAGAGTCAATAGCTGGTGAAAGTGAAATGGAAGTACAACCAAGAGTTGGTGCGTTAACAGCTCTACCAAGAAATAAATGGGCAGAAGTTTATGAACAATTGTGTCAAGGTAAGACATTATGCTAATATATATATCTTCTATTAAAAAAATAAATACCTGTAAATAAAGAAAACAATTTCTTCTAGCAATAAATCTCAGTCAGTTTAAATTACTGTATCAGTTTAAATATTCAAACATACCCAGTTATATTACTGACAAAGGGATACATTATTTTAAATTTAGTAGTTTAAATAATAAATACAAAGATTATTTTCTTAAATTCAGTTGACATAATCCGTACATAATTCTTTAAGATTGGTAAATATGATGTTTTAAGATATATTTCACTTAGAGTCAATTAGAATGCTTATCATGCTGTTAGATAGTGTGTAATACTTTCATGGAGTTCTACTAATATAATATATACAGATAAATCCCTAACACAAGTAAAATTATGTCTACTTATTTTTGGTTGTATTCCAATCGATGTTATTCCTTTACAATAGTTAACATCAAATTATAAAGTTCATCATAAACTGTGTAGTTATATAACTAAATATATTTATTGTTAATTTAAAAGAGAAATAGAATATTCTCTCAATGTTCATGGGGAAAAAAGTATGACCTAAATCTATTGGATAACTAATTGACGTAGCTGCACTAACTTCGCAATAAAACTTTTTTTTGAATATGATGAGTTTAAAATAGAACCTTGTATAGTAGCCGACATATCATATCCATAGGCGATGAACACACTCAATTCTTGTGTATTAATCAATGTTATATGGCCCACTTTCCTAATATTGGTTGAACTATATTAAACAGTTTAGAGAGAATATTTTTGACTAAAGCGTTATATTTCTTTTATTCGGATCTCTGAGTAGCACATAGTTCCTCATCAACGCTAACAAGTGCCAACCAGCAAAAATCTATAGTGTCAGAATTTCTACTGAAAGGCACCAACTATCTGGAATAGAACACTACTTTTATCTAAGTTACATATGTATATATTCTCAATAAAGGACTAAAAACAAATATTTGAGTTATAGTTAAATACTATCGATAAACTACAGTGTGATCACTAATCTGAATGACTCATCATCGCATGCACTACCTTTGAATATTCGGTGATTGGAGTTAGTCAACTGGAAACCCTGAACCTAGTCTTTGTGTTAGTTGGCACTAGTTGGCAAAGTGTACTTGTAATCTTAAGGGACCCAATTTTCCATAATGAGTTCGAGGTCATGTCACTCAGGTTCACAGTCTGATACGTCGGCATTGAGCCATTCGGGTAGTGGCTGACCTCCTATAGCATTGAAATATTTACAACTGATCGACCACTGAGTAGTGATTAATGTCATGTTCTTCCTATTACTCTACACTTCCTTACTCACCTGTTTCTTCTTCTTATCCACTTTTCTTCTAACTAGATCCAGAAAATGAAGGAAATTTAAAAACCATTGCAAAAAGCATGTTCGTATTATGTTTAGACAAACCAATTCAAGCAGTTGAAGAACTAGATGAAACAACAGATATTAATGGATTTTTAAATGAAACAAATGATTCAAATAATTTAAATAAACGTGATGATGTTTCATTAGCTTTACAATTACTACATGGAATGGGTAGTTCATTTAATGCGGCTAATCGTTGGTATGATAAAACAATGCAAGTGAGTTATTTACTAAAACTATGAAGGTTTTTATTTTTTTTCAAATTCAATGTTTCGTAAAATTGTATTTTGAATGTATATAAAAAAGGTCACCAAAACCATCATGTTCTCAGTAGTAAGCATCTTTTTCAAAGAATTTCTCAATGTTCTAATGAAAAGTCATGATTTTTAGAGTTAATTAAGTTTACACAGAGATAGTAAATCACCAATGGTATTGGAGGATTTGCCCCCAAATGCTCTGGTACGGCCGAGAGTGGGAAGAGTCCACTCTCCCTCTCGAAATGCTCTCACATGGCCACGTGTGTATAGCCTCTGCCAGGGGAGTCATACTCATTGTCTTCTCGTGGTGAGGGTGTTGTTTACGAAATTGAGAGGACAAAGATCGAACGTCCGACTCTTTAACCAGGTTGGTGGATATAGAGGACCCACCTAGGAGTTGGAAAACTCTGATTCCAAATCATTGGTGCACATGAACTCCAGTATTCTAAAGGAACAAATGGCGTACGAACAAATTATTTTCAACCGGCTACCATGGGACTGCATCTCCCAATTTTGCCCCACGGTTGTGGCCCCATAAGAAAACCATCTGTTTTGGCCAGACATTCAATTTCGTCTTCTCAATTTCGTAAACAACACCCTCACCACGAGAAGACAATGAGTAGAACTTCCCTGACAGTGCCTGTATACACGTGGCCATGTGAGAGCATTTCGAGAGGAAAATATGTCTCTCCCCATTGTCGACCGTACCAGGGCATTTGGGAGTAAGTGAAGGGGGCACCCGAGCCTGTATTAACAACTAAAACAACGTGAATAGTAAATTTTTATACTGACCAATAATAAATAAACCAGTCAACTTTATGATGGTCATTAAGCTACAAAGTTCACAGAATTACATCCTTATGTTCTAACCTATCACCTATAACATCATGTTTTGTACAAATCCCAATTCAATAAAACAATTCATTTATTAGTTTTACAAAAATAAAAAAATAAAAATTAATTGAAAACAATCTAAGATTTAGCTTTATCACAGAAATTTTCTCATAAATTTACAAACTATTGTTTATACTTGTGAAATATTCTGATGGAACATATGATTTTATCCTTATTACAAATTAGCACATAATCTTTGGGCTCCATATTAAATATTGTCAAATTTTATTCTATTATACATCTTGTAGGGGGATATATTAATCAATAAAAATATCATTACTTAATAGTAAATAATTTATGGTACACCAACCCAAATTTATTAATAAAACAAAGCATGGTTTGAAATATCTTTTTGGGTTATAATGATCAGTAATTAACGAATTAAAACAAACACAACGATTAACTATTATATTAAATAGTAATACATTAATATGAATTATCTCTATTAATTTCAAAAGTTGATTAATATTTTTATCTAATGAGATACATTTTCTAATCATACTGAATAATTACAGAATAGTAACTAAAATCATTTTTGTCCAATCCTTAATGCTAAAAAGATTCCATTGATCAATGTTCAAGATAGTCACTAGTTCAATTGATTTGACATCACATACATTATAATTTTTGATGTCATATGGTGGGAGATAATCAGTAGAAAATCCTTTATCTACGTTACATACTAAGCAGCAGTCTTAATCAAGATATATCTCTAAGCTTGTGGGGAATAATGTCTTTTGAACTTCATTCTAATTGACTCCAATCACCTAAGATTTGTTGTTCTTTGAAAATTTCTCAATTAGTACAAGATTTTTAACAAGTATCTTTTAGTTTTGCCTTAATAAACACGAATAAATCATCTTGGTTCAGTTGATTTCTAATAAAGCTACTCTAAATTCAATTAAATGCATCTTCTAAAGTTCAAATACACATAAACAACTCTTTCTAAACAAAACTATTATCGTTAAATGTATTAAATATATTAGAATCTTGAAAAATGTGCAATCCAGCGAAGTAAACTTTCTTTCCTATCCTATCATTTACTAAACCTATACAATGATATTTAAAATAACTTTTTGATTGAGATTATTAATTGTTCGATATTAGACCATTATTGAAAGTCTGGAAGCATCGAATGGCCGTTTCGGTCTAGTATGGTACTTCTTAGCAATAGGCTGATGAATGTTTACATCATATTATCATCTTGTAGAACATGAACAGTCCAAACATAAGCAAATATTTTCACAATTTGTGCATGAAAAAATGACTTTAAATACAGATTATTACTTGCACCGATATATCTTTAAAAATTTTCATAATATTATGTTAATTTCTAATAATTAACCAATGCTTAATTTTAAATGGTATTTCATATTCTTATACTTCGTTAGGCTGATTTATGCACATTTAATAATGTTTATTATTTACTTTCCATTGATTAGAATCAGACAACCTGAACCGTTCATACGACCGTACTTTAATAGGAAATAACCCCTCAGTATACAAATAACTTTAACTAATATTGAAAATTTATCTCCAAGAGTAGTTTATCAGTCAACTTAGTTTTAAAGTAAATATTTCGTTGAATATGACAAATGGACATGAAACCAATAACCAATTATTTTTTTAATAGACTACATTAAGATGTTTAATAAGTTCCTTTAATATTTGTCAAGAATTCTTTATAAAATACTAATTTCCCCAGTAATGAAATAGGATTTTTTTAAGCTGATAGGTCCTGGGTTCATATCTCGCGAGTCGGGATCGTAGATGCGCACTGCTGAGGAATCCCATACTATGACGAAACAGCCGTCTAGTACTTCTAGGTTTTCCATAGTGTTCTAGATTCAATAGACTCAAAAATTCAACTATTAAACTTTGTTATTAAGATAAAAATTCTTGTAACCTTACCTTTGTTCTATTCGCCTTTCTTTCATTTCTATATATATAATTTTTATTTACTAACAATGACAATATAACTCATAAAAAGCAAATTACATTTTTTAAAAAATAAACTAGTAACATACATTCACATAAGCACAAACTTTACCATATATTCATACATTAACTCATAGTAATAATAAAGGGAACACTTTATAAAAAATGAAAAGTGGCAAAAGAATATATTGAACATTAGTTAATATTTAACATCTGTTGTTATCTCCCATGGAACAAAAATTTTCTTATTGTTTACCCTTGGTCTGATGCATATATATATATATAATATATATATATGTATATGTCGGTAGACAGATAGATAGATAAACAAATTAATCAATAATACATAACAATAAAAGAAGTTGCGACTGTGATGATGAAGATAATGATGAATTATTTTAAGAAAGACTTAAGAAACACTGTTTACATATGAGTGAATGAAATAATCTATTAAATAGTATTGAAAGGTCGCATTAATTTAAACTAAATATTCAAAGTTCTATCAATTAATTAGTTTATATTTGAGAAAAATAATTTATCACAATTTAGATTTAATCATGTGATGACGTAACAGGTCAATAAACTTGGTTACAATTGATCAACAGGCAGATCATAGTTACTTATTTATATTTAGTAGTTATTGTAGTAAGTAAATACAATTTACCTAATAAATTCTTGAATAGTTATAGTCCATAAGACAAAATAAATATCTAAACTGTTTATTTGATTGGCTTTATTATTTGGTTAATTACAGAATAACAGTCAAAATCAGATGATTTACCAGGCACGAGTTTTTGTGTACTTAAATGCTAGCTACTCTATTTGTATGAGAAATAGTGATACAAACCAACTATTTAACCCCAAGTTTACTTGGTAGGTTCCGAATCTGAAGTTTACGGTTTAAAGGTTTAAAGTTCGGGATTTACCCTATCTACTCCAGTTTTGATAACAGGAAATTATCCGTAGTAATTACACCAAAAATGCATGTAGTTTAAATCTGAGTAAATGAATATGTACACGGATACTGAGTTACACCATAATTACATAGTAGTTGTTTGAGAGCCAGTAATTATGTTTTTTTATCCATTCGATCACTAAAAAGTGAACATACTGTCTGAAATAAAATGAAGGAAATCTAGAAACTAATATTTTATATACATAGAAAGGTTACACAAAATTTCACTCTCCAGGAATATAAATGATAAAACATCTTGTAAAGTCTTTAAGATCTTTCATTAAGCTTCAATAAAATAGTTTTAGCAAATAAAAGAATGAAAGTGAAGAAACACAACAGTAAATAAGGCAAACTATAGTACCGATAACTCAACAGGTGAAAGAAAACAACCAACTGACTCCACAAGAACAAAAGGCCTTGAAAGAACTCAGAAATAGAAAAGATATTATCATAATACCAGCGGACAAGGGACGCACCACAGTAATCATGGACAAAGAAGAATACATCAACAAAGCCGAAGAACTACTCGAAGATAAGAGCACATACAAACTGATGGACACAAATCCCGTCAAAAAATTAGACAATCAAATCTCAAAGACTTTAAACAAGCTAGTCAAAGCAGGAGAAATAACAAAACAAGACCAATGGAGAATGAAATCCAGTGGACCAGTACTCCCTCGATTCTACGGTAGACCCAAAATACACAAACCAAACATTCCACTACGTCCAATAGTAGCACTCCCCGGAACGCCAACATACAATTTGTCAAAAGAAATTTCACGAATACTGAGACATCTAGTAGATTCAGCCAAACACTCCATCAAATCCCCAACACAATTCCTGGACCAAATCAAGGATATTCAAATCAACAACGACGAACTCATGATATCCTTCGACGTAACAGCACTGTTCACCTCAATTGAACCACAGCTAGCAAAAGAAACTATATCCCTGCTACTCAACAACGACACAAATCTCATCTCATTACAATTATTGTCATTATTAATACTAATATTATTATTACTACTATTACTGTCATTATTGTTATTATTATCATTATTATTATTATTTCCCACATTATTCACCCTCTTTTATACTTATACAGCGGCTCGTCTTTGGTGGAAATCCGACTGTATCTAAACGTTCTCGAGTCACTGTCCGGTTGAAAATTGTA